TTGACGAAATGGGTTCATCATTGCATTATTAACTTAGGAAGTATGTAAGTAGTTGTAGAAGTCTTTGGAAATAAAAATTTGTAGAAATAATTTACTTTGCCGGAAGAAATTTGCTTTTACTTCTGTTCTATCTAAGATATCTTTGCAAAATTTCAATTTTCGGCTTTCTATTTTTCAAAAAATGTAAGGTTTTCCATTTATATATGTACATTTATGTACATATATTTTTATTGAAAACTATAATACTATTTAATTTTAACTAATTAAAAGTCAAATTTGACTCACATGTTAGCATTTTTTTTTTATTTTCCTTTGTTCTCATCCTACAAGTATGCATAATTATTTATTGCTTAATATATTTCTCGTAACATTATTCATGAGGATAATATCGTATTTTGTAATACGATATTATCCTAAATATTGTAATACGATATTGCATACGTAAAAATATTTTAAGAGAAATGCAAAAAATTTAGTATAGAAATTTAGAAAATATTGTTTACTCACTCTTGAAAATTATTATCGTTCTCTTTTGGACGTTGAAAATGCTACCACTTTAAAAGCTGTCTCAAAATAAATTCTGCAAAAATCAATATTTTCGGAATATTCCGGCTTCCAAAACTATTTAATTAGATGCTGTAAAACCTATACACACACATATACTATACTTTGCAGATTTTAAATAACAGAAGACAGAAGTTTACACAAGAAAGGAATTGCAAGATTCAACTGTAATTTTTTAAAACTTTTCCTAATTTGTGCAGTTTTTAAATGTGGACCTACAATTATACCTACAATTACGCCAAATTAAAAGAAATTTGCCTTTTATAGCGAAATGAATTTTTCCTCTTTCCGTATTCCCGAAACTTTCTGTGATTATTTTTGTGAAATTGAAATATCTAACACAAAAAATATGTACACAAGTATACATATAAGCTTTTTAAAACGATTTTTTTTATAAACAAAATTTTTTTAAGAAATTTTAAAAATGCCAGAAGAATAAATTTTATTCTAAATGTTAACCTTATTATGTTATGTTAACTGCTAAATTTAATAGCATACATAACATCCAATTATTATTTTAACAAAGATTTATTATTAATATCAATTAACTTAATGTATAGAAATTAATTTTTAATTATATGGAGTTTAAAACTCAATCATATAAATATCGAAAAATTAGCTGACATGCAAGTTTTTTTTTCACCACCTCAAAAAATAGTAGATGCTATAATTTTTTAAAGTAACTTTTATTTCTTTGGGTATCACAAAACACATGTGTAACATTAATTACATTCAACTAAATTAAATATAATTAGCATATTTTACATTCGCTCCTACTTTTTGTAGATCTATTAATCTATAGCTTTGCTGTAAACTCCTTTGTTACACGAATATGCAGTAATAACATTTGCAGTAATAAAGGTAGTTAAAAACTTTTAATGTTAAGTGTAGTTTGTATATGGATTTTAATTAAAATTCTAGTGTTCAAGTGGCTTTAGGGCAAAAAATCACCTTTGCGGGAATGTCAACCAAAAACAGCAACAATACAATCATAATAATTGCGTATATGTATATCTCATGCACAAAAATTATAAGGAACATTATTGAATCCTTTATATTATTATATTCTAAATGATCTTCATTCTTCTTTAGTTTTTACTGCAACAATTCTCTCTATTGACTGCATTTATATTCTTAAATGAAACGTTTAGTTCCCCTTGTCAGCTGTTCGACTATTTTACTAAAAATGTAATACCCACTAATAGAAAACCAAACAAATAAAATTTCTTAAAAGAAAAAAAAAATATTTACATGTGAAACATCTTGTACTCGTAATAAATAAAAACGGGAATCCCAACTTCATTTTTATTATGTCTCAACTTAAAAATGTATAAATTACACACAGACGACCGCGGAAACATTTACCAAAAAATAAATAGCGAATAATTTAATTAGCAGTCACTGTAATAAATTAACTATAATTTGGAGCTTGAACATATACGTTTACATATAAAAATACGTTGTTATAAACAAAATTAAAACAACATTACCAAAAACTATTTGAATTCTAATAGCCTCAATATATACAAAGAGATGATGTGTTTGGCTAAATAAATAAAAACTAAATTATACACACACACCTAAATTAATTAATACGGTGATACTAAATGTTCTACACGTCAGATAATTTAGAATAAATTCTTCTTATTATTATTTCACATATAAAAACAAAATTAATTCGGTTTTGTTCATACGTAGTATACAATATAAAGCTTTAAACAAGTTTAGTATAATATAAAATTTTGTTTAATTTTAGAAAATATAATATTTTTTATATAACGTTCTACCTTAATTAACCTAACTAAAATTAGTTATAATATTAGAAATAGAATTTTATTAGGTAGAAGAATAATAGAATTTTAATAGTATTGTGTGAATTTTTGAATTTAATAAAGCAATAATATTTTAATAATTTTATTGTTATGTCATCTATATTACAAACTCAAAACATATTGCTTTTATACCCAAAACCTTATAGTAAATGGTATATTAACTTTGGTATAAAGTTTATAACCACTTGAAGAAATCATCTGCGGAACATCTACATTTTATATTCTTGTTTGGTGTAAAATTCTTCATCGATCAAGATTATGTCCCTCCGTCTGTCCACGCACTTATCTTTTCGGAAAATTCAAAAACAACCAAACTTTCAGAAACTCTTTTTTTTTTATGCCAATGACGCCTGCTATTGCAATTAAACCAGTTCGAAGAATGTTGTCATGCAGCTCAAAAAGATTTTTTTTTCAAAATTCAAAAGCTAATAAACTTAGTTTCCTAAATTTCGCCAGTCATGTATCCCATTACAGCTTAGATATCTTTTAGAAGTTATAGTGGAATGAGTTAAGAAGAAAGTTAACACGTCCAAATAACTGTCATACGAACTTAAAATCAGATTGAGGTAATTTTATGGAATTTATTAAAAAAGTACAAATAAACTTTTTACACAGCTCAACAATCTTATTTTATAATCAAATTGTCATGGTGTAAGGTATAATAATTCAGTCAGCAGGGATAGGCTGAAACGTTTATAATTCGTTTAATTTTAAAACGGATAACATAGCAATACAGTGGTTATATATAATGAGTCTTTATAGTTAACGTTTGACATTACGTGCTTGCGCCCTAACAATTTATGTATCCTTAATAAAATTTATCTTGCTTAAAAAATTACTTGACGTGCGTATAACATCCTCATTCGCTCTCAAGCTAAATGAGTTTTCTTTTTAAAAATATTCCAGGGATAATAATATAATTGATTTTATTCTGTTTTTCAAAAATTCGAAATTGTATAATATTATTCGAATATTGTATTTATTGAAAGTCATTTTCATAATTAAAATCAATGAAATTGTAAAAAAACAAGCTTAAATTTATTTTTGCATCCTCACGGTTAAGTTTTTATAATATGATTATAATATGTGTGCAAGCCATTATTTATTAAAACCCACATATATAAAAAGAGTCATTTATTAAAAGTTCATTTAAAATAGATTCAAAATTCGATATTATTCAAAAGTTTCTGTTAAATTTACTCTTAGAATGTAAATTATTGCGAAACGATCTTTTATCACCAAACCCTATCAAATGGTATAAAAGTCAAACTCTTAATATTAATGCTCAAAGGTTGACAAATCAAATAGCTTCTTAGATCTAGAATGTAATTTAATAGAAGGCAGTTTAATTAGTATAATATTTAAATTTTTTTAATTATTTTTCATAAGCACGACTCCATTTAAATGAATTTGATTACAAATAATACAAGATAATACAAATAACCAACATTGTCAAAGAATAATAATAAAATTTAGAATTTTTTGTATTATTACAAACAATTTATGAACTTGCTTCAAGGTTTCGAGTAGCCAAAAATTTTATCAAATTTTTATAAAATACGCAATTTGATTATTAATTTTTAACTATAACATGTATAAAAAAATATGAAAATAAACCTTTTGAACATACTTACGTATATATATAAAATTAAATTTAGTTGATAATTAATTTTTATTTGAAAACAATTGACTTAGATAAGAAACAATACTTTTAAAATTAATCGAAAATATTAAAAGTGAGTATAATATATGTAGTATTTAAAAATATTTTTATATCTATTAAATATCAACTTTTTATCTAAACTAAGTAATCAATTAAGCTCCTCTCATGAATATCAAAATATAGTTAAAATTAAAATTTTACACTTCACTCTTTGACTTTTTCTTTAAATTTATGGAAAAGGAGGTTTGAAATAAAGGAGCAAAAGTGGGGTTGTTTAAAAATATGTTAAATTTTTTTTCATCAAAATTATAAGAAGAATGGTTTTTAAAATTTGTTTTATTAAAATTTTTATTGCTTGAACTAATATCTTAATAAAATAAATATTACAAACAATTAGCACTATATAAAACTCAATTAATAATACACCAATAAAATGGATATTTGTAGAAACTCTAAAAAGATAAAATATGTGCACAAACTCGAATATCAATCAAAAAAAAAAATTTATATTAATTGTTAACCTGCAGAACAGTTTCTAAAAAAAATTAGATTCTAGTTTTCTATTATGAAGTCACTTTTAAAAATTTAAAAAATCCTATTAAAAAAAAAAAAAAATAGTTGAATTTCATTGAATAATTTTTTATCAACAATATTTTTCTGATTTTCTGATCTCTCTACATTGGTAAATTTTCTCTCTATTTTAAATTGGATTGTATTACAGATTGCAATGTTAACATTGCGAGATAAACAATATTATTGTAATTACATAATTATTTTTTAGAACTTCTTTGATGTAAATTTGAATTATTGTTTTTTATTCCTAAATAATATTTTAGCCACATTAATTACGCATATATAAATGAATATTTTTCCTTTAAATTGTTAATTTTTTATAACTACGAGTAATAGCATAATAGAAAATATAAAAAAAATGTATTTACCTTAAAATGGCTCTTTAATTTAATACTTAATATCTCTCTATATAATATAAAAAATATTGCCTATAATTTAATAAATAACGCAATTTTCAACTAAAAATTTTATAAAAACTTTGTTTTCCTCGTAATTTCATCGAAAATAAACGAAAGTGTTATATTTACGCTGAAATGTACAAGAATATTAAAAATGAAAACAAAATTTTCAAAAAAAAAAATATTCTTTTTTTTCCTTAATATTATGACTGTGACGGTTGAAAGCTGATCGTTAACTGAATCTATTAAAATTATTAAGGTAAAAATTTATTCTAACAAATAACAGAACATTTTACGATCCTTTCTATTATATAAAAAAAAATGAGAAGAAAAGTAAAAATTTAGAATAAAAATAAAAAAAAAAAACCATAAAAACTTTACTCAAAGTTCAAAATTTGGTAAATAAATCTACGTATGTATGTATGTAGATGTGTAGGTTTATTGTATCTATAAATTTTATTATCTGCTACGAGTTGTTTTGTTTTTAAGTTATATACTTATATATATTTATTATTTATATTTAATAATATTAAGCTAATATTATGATCCGTAATAGTTTTTTGAAATTATGAAAATATTTACATAGATTTTATATGAGCCATCAATGAATAATTAAAATCATACCAAAGTTGAATTCGGTATGATATTTTATTCTTTGAAACTATGTGTATAACAGCGTGTGATCAGAATCTTTTCTAACTTTGTATATACTTGCTTATACATATAAGCAGATTGTATATATACATACATATTTACAGAAATTAGGTATAGGTGCAAAAGAATACATTTCAAAATTATTCAAAAATTTGTTATACTAAAAATTTCCTAATCAACACATAAATATAAAAAATACTATTATCATGCTGGCTTTATGCAAATTTAAAAATTAATATTCCCGAATTATCTTAACACGCAGAATTAGATATAAACTTAGAGTTACTATGTACGTAGCAACTAGCAAACATATATTATCATTTAATTTATAGGAAACAAATATGAATTCAATTTTATTCTCATACAAATTTTTACAAAAATTTAACAATATTAATAAGCTCTAATAAATTTATAATGGGTATCTACATATGTACGTACATTTATAAAACTTTTTTTTTTAAAGGAAAACAAGTGCAAGTTGAAAAATTATTATGTTGAGGGACGTACAGTTGTTACACAAAATATGTTGCTCAACATTATATGTGACGTAGAAAAGGAAATAACGTTTTTTTTTGAAAAATTTTTCGGTCTAACAGCACTTTCTCTTTGGGAACTTTGTAAATTTCAAAATTGCATTATTCTGCAAATTTATAAATATCGTAAAATATCGTATTTTCGACTAAAATATAACGAAACATTGATTTTATTTTAAAATTATGTATGTATTCTAACGTTTGAAAAGCATTCATGTTAAAGAATGCTTTTCAAACGTTAGCTACAAAGTATTAACAATAAAATATTAATTCAAGTTGAATTTGATTGAAAAAGTTTGTTATAGTAACCATTTTTAATTTTTTAAAATAATTTATTCCTTTTTTAGCACTTTTCCAAAAAATTTTTGAAAAAAAGTGATAATTAGTTTCACTCTGTCCGTCCGTCTGTCCGTGTGTCTGTTTACAAAACTTCTACACCCTTGAAGATAGAAAGCCGAAACTTTGTACGTACATAGATCTTTACTAGAAACTTATTTCCGTGGAACAAAATTTTTACCTATCTCCCCCCCTCTAGAAGTTATACCCCCCCCCCCCCCCCCCCGAAACCCTAAAAATGGCCTTTTTTAACTATTTGTTGCAATGAAACCATAAGCATTTTTGAAATTTTACAAATGCGAAAAGGCAGCGGCGTGCTTCCTCTAGCGCGGTATATTATAGTTTAACTTTCGTTCAAATTTACCGTTATCTAAAGTCCTTTTGTTACAAATTTTTGATGTCGTTTTTCTTCTAGACCCCAGCCTGTAGAAGCTTGGAATTTTAGGGGCTTTCAGACATTAACAAATAGTTCATTTCGTTAGAAGAAAATTTTTTTCCATCTCCACCCCCTCTCCAGTTATCGCCTCTTGAAATTTGTAAAATTTGAATTTTTGACACCTTATATTTCCGAACCCCCAAGGTTTTTCAAATTTCTATAAACACAGAAAGCTAACGGTAAATTCCATAACATTAAAAAATATAATTATTTTTCTTAACTCACACAATTAATCCTTAAAATCGAGCATTATGTTAACCCCACTTTATATTAATTTTTGCTTTATTTCAAAGACTGCATGTATGCATCATTTTAAATATATGCAATCCTAGAAATAGTTTTGTATATGAATAAAAATAATTTTAATAGTGTGATAGGTATACATAATAAATGTCGAAAAAAGTTGAAAAAATAATGTAAGTTAAAAAATATTCAAATATTTCTGATTTGCTGATATTAATTGCTGATATGCATAATTTTAAATTATAAACGAACCCAAACAGTTTGTTGATTTAGCTTATTAAGTTCTTTTAGCATTAAGTTATTATAATCAGTCAACCCTGCTAACGACTCGTCAGTCAAATTTCTGAACGCTTTCATCTGTGAAACGTCAAACATTTTTCAAATTGCTTTTGGAATGATGTGGCGATGAAAGTGTCAGAGATCGAAGTAGTATATTTATTAGCAATTTTTAAGTAAAAATAAACGATGAAAAATGATGAATTCATGTAGTTTTTATAAAATTTTTAATATAATTGTAATACATTTAGTTTTAATTAATTGGGTAAACTGCGAAATTAGATTATGCGGAGATGAAAAATGCCAAAGTAAATATAAAAATTATACTGCACTGTAGCTAATCCAATATATACATATGTGTTCTTGTGTGTTTCAAAAGTCATTAAAAAATAAAATTGTCATATAATTTTAGGAATAATATCCCAAGGTATTACTATTTCGAACTATCAACCTGGGGAACCTGGGCGAATACATCTTAAAATAAATACACCTGTTAATGTCTATTCTAAACCAAATAAAAGTGAAGTTTCAACAACTGAATTATGGGAAATAGAAACTCAAGGCAGGCGAGGATTAGCTTCTCCAAAATTCCTTAAAGAAAACCGTATTCTTGTTAAAACAGAAAATCTTATAGCAGTAAATAAAGATATGAATCCTTCTAAAGTTGGTCAACCAGAAATACAAAGTTCTCAAGTATTCAGTAGTGAAGAATACTCAACTACAGCACCACTTAAGGCAGAAGAAATTCCCAAGAATATTGTCAAGGAAAGTGGAGAACAAATAAGTACAACTGAAACATTACGAAGCACAGTTGTGGATAAACCACATACAATTGATGGAACAACTATTACTCCTAATATAGAACACGAAAATGAAGATGATGGATTCGTTAGTTCATATGATGATTACGAAGAAGAAGAAGGTTCAGGCGAAGAAGAAGAGGATGAAGAAGAGGAAGAATTAGATAGACCTAAAATTTTAGCTGCAGAAACTGAAACAATATCAAACAGTGTGAACAAAAATGCAAATAGTGACGAAAAGAGTGAACCAGTAACTCAAAAAAGCTTTATCGAACAGCCAAAAGTAGAAAATTCAAAAGATTCTGACAATGATGGAGAAAAGACTGAAATATTAGATTCCGAAAATTTACAAAAGACTGATAAAGCAATTGAGAAGGAAAATGTGAACAATGAAATAAATAAATTTGAAAAACCTGGGGAAAATTTGCAAGATGAACAAAAAAAATTACATGATCCTGCAGTTTTTTTACCACCTGATCTTATGAGATCTAATGAACATTTAGACACACCTAAAGATGTTAGTAAAAATCAAATTCTTGAGGCAAATGAGAAAAATTCAAATAACCATATTGAAAATAATTTTCAAGCAAAAGATGAAAACCTAACGGTTAAAGGTACATGAAAAATTTAAAGTTAGTATTTTCCTTTATTTATTAATCAAAAAATTGTTTTTTTTTCACATAATAAATTAGACAAGGATGTTGCAGTTAACATCAATGAAAATCAAAATGGAATCATTGATCAGAAATCAAATATGGAAGAGCAGAAGGTCACAATTGAAACTTCTTTAAATGAAAATGCTCAACCAGACAATAGTAAGGCACTTTTTTCAATACAAAAAATTCAAAATTATTTATCTCGTATTTCAATATAAAAAGCTCAAAATATAAAACCACTTGATGCTCAAATGGAAAGCCATCAGGCATTGAATAATATCCAACAAGAAAAATATCAACCAGAAGCAAACGAGCCTGTAAATATAGTACCTCCAAAGTCAGACGGTAAGGCGATTGACATAACTAAGTCTAATTTTCGGAATACTAAATTTTTCTAAAATAAAGCAGATAAACCAGATATATCAATTGAGAAATTATCAACTAGTTTAAAAGATATTGCCGAAACATCAGAGGTAAAAGAAGTGCAAGAAAATAAAGAACAGATTATCGAAGACGTTTCAAAAGGTTAGTTCAAAATCACATAAATTTTTAAAATAATATTTACTTCTATTAGTTTATTTCTGTAATAATTTTTATTTGGGTTAATTGAACATTCCAATAAATTATGTTTATGACATTATTATACATTTGTTAAGTTGTGTTGGTTGTGGTTGAAAGTAATCTCCACAAAATTAAAAAATATAATATAATATACAATATGTACTAATTTACTAAGTATAAGAAATTTGTTTGAATCAAATTCTCTTAGATAAAAAATATATTTAAAAATTTTTTTAATGAAACTTTTTAAATTTATATTAATATCAATAACATCTAGATATTCTTGATAATTCCGTGGCTCCAGACTCAAACGAAAATATTAATGATTTAGGTCGAAAGGATGAGGCGTTACTTAGTCAAAATGAATCTACCGAAACGATGAACTACTTAGATCTTAAACTGTTCGAAAATCGTAATCAGGATCAAGAAATGCACGCAAGTGCATTAAAAAATGATCAGCCAAAATATCATAATTATCAAGATCAGTCGATTTATCTCAACCATGAACAACAAAGTCAAGAAAATGTGAAGTTAGAATCAGAAAATGCTATCTTGCAAGATATAAGTTCAAAAGGGTTGGAAAGTGGTAAGCAAGTTATAGAAAATCAAGCACAAGATTATAGTTCCCAAGTTCCTATTAAAACAGAGCAGCAACACTCGACAATAACTACACCAGGCTATGAAGAAATTCATTTTGTCGATAATCCTATTGAAACGATTACGAAAAATCCTGCGAAATCTGGCCTAGAAAACTTGATTTTGCCACATCAAGATAATTTGATGTTAAATGAAAACCAAAAAGAGGATAAAATTCATGAAAACAAAGATTTTGAACAAACGAATGATATAAAGGTAGATATTGTAAATCCCCAACCTTTAACACAGAATGTAATCGAAGATTCCAACGAAATTGAAAAACTTGAATCTTCAAGTAGCTTCGAGTTTCTTACCATGGGTATTGAAACTTTTTATGTATGGAGTGGTAAACTGATTGATGTTGTTAATGGTTTTTGGAAAAGTTCTTCAGATATACAAGATATAGCAAGCGAAGAGAAGCCATATCAAGAACCTAGTTTGGATATAAAAGAAGAAATTATGGAAAATAGTAATTTAAAGAATCCAGATCATTTGGAAGAGGAATATTGTAAAAAGTTAGGGCCGAATGATAACTGCCCAAATATAGGAAGGGAAAAAGTCTATCGCTCACACCTTAACACCGGGTCGTCATTTACAGAAAGTGATTTTTTTACTTCAATGTCTGATAAAATACTAGAAATGTTCGATATGTTGGTTTTGCTAAGTATTGCAGCTATTTCTTCAATCATTTTTGCTTTTGGATATTATTGTATTTGCAATAGCCGAAAGGAAAATTTATTGATTAACAAACTCAATGTTGTAGAAAGGAACTTATTAACAGCTAATAAAGAAGTAACGATTTTGAAGCAAGATTTACAAGATTCTCGATCTAAATTAAGCTCAATTGAGGACAGTACATTTGGTACAAATGATTTAGTGATCTCCTTAAAAAAAAAAGTGGAAGAAAAACAAAAAGAAGTTGATACCTTAAAAAAACAAATTTCAACTCTAGAAAAAGTAAGATAATTCTAACAACACAAAGTGCATTGGTTGTATTTCTATATTATTTTTATAGGAATTAGAAAGTGCTACCACAGCTGGTGTTGAATTAAATAAAATAATTTCGGAATTGGTTATCAAACAAAACGAGCAACAGTTATTACAAGAAAATATAGAGGAATTAGAAAAGCAAATAAGTGAACAGAAAGGTAAATAATATTATTTAGAAATTTTATAATTCTCTACAAAAAGAAAAGCTACTGAAACTTAAATTTAGATACAATAGAAGAAATCAATCAAAACGTAGCTGAAAAAACACATGAAAATACTGAGTTGCATTTGCTCATATCAGAACAGTCTATTAAATTTCAAAGTGAAATTAAAGAGCTACAGGATCAAATTGTTGATTTAGAAAATGAAAAAGAGTTGTTAGAAGGAAAATTTGAAGAAAATGAAAAACGCATCAAAGAAGAACTTGAAGTTGAGATTTCAACCAAAGCTGAAGAAATTGGAAAATTACACGCTGAGTTGTTGTTGTTTAAAAATAAATATGATGAAATAAGTAGAAAATGGCAAACAAGTGAATCAAAAATAGAGGTAGAAATAAATTACATGTGTTTTTTTTTTTTTAAATTTTTCAATTATTTTTTTATAAAAAACAGTCTTTGAAAGAATGCATTAGGAATATGAACAAAGAATCGTGGGCTGATATAGATGACTTGATAGAAACTGTTGATATAAAAGCAGATAATTTGTTACTAGAAAAAGAAAATTCAACTCTTAAAGAGCAATTAGAAGGAGAAAAGGTATTTGAATAAAAATGTTTAATGAATAATTCATTATTTTATTTTGATTTATTTCCAGAATTCCATAAAATTATTAGAAGGTCGCATAGCGCTATTAAGTGAAGAGGTAGCTAGTCTAAAAGTAGGGCACGACAAAGCAGAGAAAGACAAATTAGAAGCTCAGACTCGCTTAGATGTACTATCTAACTATTTTAAAGAAAAGGAGGCGCAACTGCAAAAGTACAAGAAATAATTAAAAAATAATGATTTATATCAATGTGTGATATTAATGTTCAATGTTTTCTTTTTTTATTCAGGGATCTGACATTAAAAGAAGCACTTTGGTTAAAGCAACAAGGCGAAACTACTAGCACTGTAGAAAAAATACGTGCACTTCAAGATGAAATACAGTCTTTAAAGTACGCTATTTTTCATATTTCAATCAACTTTGTAATCTTATTTGTTCTTTATTCTCAAAGGTCGCAAAATGATTCATTGCATGCTGAAATAGAAGCTCAAGCGGTTGCTCATAAAACGCAATTAGCCACATTGGAAAATCGGGCTCATGAAACTTGGTTACAATCCAGACAATCCGAACGTAAATATGAAGAAGCTAGGTCTGAATCAACAATGTTGAGACGAAAGCTAACAGCTTTGGTTTCTTCAAATAATCAATCAGTAGGTAGTAACAATACAAGTTCTTCTAATGATATCAATCGTAAGTATTTGTACAACGAATTGACAAAAAAGTTGTTTATTTTAACTTATATATTTAATTTATTGTAGGGCTTCAAAATTCAATTGTGGATGGAGTTGGACCTTCTAACTTGAATAGCGTACCTTCACCAATTCATTTAGATTCTCCTAGTTCACCTGCATTAGTAACTTCTAATCTTCCACCCCCGCCACCATTTTTGCCACCTCCACCATTTATGCCACCACTACCAGGTCCATTTATGGGCATACCAACTCCATTTGCTTTGCCACCAGGAGGTCGCCCACCTCCGTTAGGTGGTCGCTTAATGTCACCACCACCACCACCTCAACATCGTAGAGGTCGATATTCACCAAGCTTAATTGACGATGATGATGACGAAGATTATGATTATGATGAATATGATGATGATAGAAGTCAAAAACGAAGTCGTAATAATAGAGATTATTCCCCAGAAAATGGAAGATATAGTCCAGATAGTCGATATAATTACACTACAGATGTGATGTCCCAATATGATACTGAAACTGATTTTAGTCCGCAAGTTAGCCCTCGAGAAGAATCATTTCTAAGAGGAAGAAGGGGTGGTAGCATAAATCGAGATATAAGACAAAATGATCGTTCCACACCTCTTGAAAGAACTAATAGTAGTAATAGTAAAACTTTTAATAAAGCATTATCTCCATCGCCACAAAAGAATCAAACAAGTTCTGGAGACAATAGGAGTAATAAATCAAATAAAGGTAGCTCTTCTTCTTATTATTATTCTTCAACATCGTCATCCTCATCTTCTATAATAGATGTTTGGTGAAAAGAAAAAAATTCATATTTTTTTATACATTAAAAAACTTTTTTCTTTTTGTATATTTTTACATTAATGCTTATACATATTTTCATAAATATAAATTTATTTGTACAGTTTATAAATTTATATGTATGTACATAAATGAGTTTGTGTATTTATTTTTCATTTTTACTATTGTTTTTATAAATCTATCATAATATATATTTATATATATATATATATTTACAAATACGCATATTTTATAAAATTTCATACAGTATATTCATATATATATGTACACTTCTTATGCTAAATTTATCAATATTAAATTATATAAATATATATTTATAATAAATAATTTCAATAGTGTAAGAAATTCACTTACGTATATATTGTAACAAAGAAAAAACTTTTGTTCAAATGGTTTTGTTTTTAAATATTTACAATACTCATTAATCATTAGATATATAATTAAAATTATATACTTTCTCATTGGTTTTCATTGTAAATTATCATGCTTGGGATGGAAAGAGATTTATGCTGTATAAATTTTAAGCTTATCATATATTTTCTTTTTTGATGAAAATTTTATGTTTAGATTTAAAACTTTATTAAAAAATTGAAATTCATTAATACCTTTTTTTTTACCAATAATTTTTATATAAATGTTAGCGCACCAAATAAATTTTAATTTGATGATGTGAAACAATTATTTATACTTCTAGAGGTACAAATTTATATCTAATATTATGCACTATATTGATATATAATAATTTGGAGTTTGTTTTCCAAGTTTGTCAGATTTGTTTGTTTTTTTTTTTATTATTTAAATTGTAATTATATATTTCTTGCACCAAAAATAAAAAAAATATTTAATTTTTATTGAAGCTTTTATATCATCAATACATTAAACTAACTTTTATAGTTCAAAATTTATTATTGTTGTGTTTTTAGGGAAAAAGTACCATAAATAAAATTTTTCAATTCCCTTAAACTACCTAAATATTATAAAAAATTATTATAACTTACTTAATAAATATGTAAAAGATGCAAATTGTAAGTGTTATTAATTTTTGAAATTTTAAATGTGTGTGATCTTCTTTGATGTGAATATCAGAATCTCTACTTACATTTTTATTGTTTGTTTTTAAGAAATTGTACATATTAAAATTATTATAAAAATAATTTAAAATCAAGTCCTATTTTTATAGTTAATGCATTATTTTTTAACAAAGTGTGCATTTATAATTTAGCAACATTGCAAGTGTTTACATTGTAATGAAATGAAAAAAAAAAAATGATTTGCAAAATAAAAAACAAACATGTTGGCTTGCACCAATATACTTTTATATAATACTTTTATGTGATGGGGCTATGACATTAATTTTGCTTTTAAACTACATATCATTATTTTTTCCAAAATGTTTTCACCAGTTCATTAGATTCTTTAAAGAGACTATTAATTTTAATATAAAATTGAAGCAATCATCAAAATCAGACCGAATAAAAAAACCAAAATCTATTTTAATATTTATTTTTTTGCAATGTTAACAATATTTGTGTGAGTTAAAATTTTAATTATTTTTCGTTTAATTTAAGTATTTTTAAATAATTTTTTCATTTCAGTTATGAAACATATTAATTTTATGGAATGAAAGGTAAAGAACAAATAGTCAAAAAGTTTTTACTCAATGTTTTTATGTTTTCAAAAAAAAAAAACGCAATATTAATTGTAAATTCAACAATAATGTATAATTTTAATTAAAAATATCTCTTTGTCTCTGAAATAAATCTATCTTCTGTCATGCACTTTTGTATTTGAACACTAAAAAAAAACAAAGAAAAAATTAATTTCTTCTTTTTTATAAAGAAAACCTTCCAAATTAATTACCATCTAAAATACTCTATGATCATGTTAAATATTTGTAACTGGTGTATTAATCAATTATATATCATAAACATTTTACATTATAGTAGTTTAATTAAGTTTTACCCTTCATTTAATTATTTAAAAGTACATATATATGCATAATTTTAAAATAAAAAAGTATGTGAAATCCTTGATGAATCTTGTTGATTTTTAAATTCTTGCATAGAAAAATTAATAATAAGCATAGAAAAATTAATATGATCTTTTATTCATTTTTATAATTTAGTAAAACTCATTGTAACAAACACATGAATTTACCCATTCAAAGGTAATTTACAATCCCCTGCAAAAGATTCTCTTTAACTTAGTTTCAAGAAATCAATTTATTTCAATCCATAAATTTTCTTATGGATTGAATTTATTCTAATATTCTTAAATCATTTAATTTAATAAATACTTGAAATTTAATTTTATTTTAATTTTTTTATTTAAATCCTCTTCACAAAAATAATCCCTTCCGCAATTTCTATTATCATTGCATTGTGATATTTATGCTTTTAATTCAAATACAAATTAAATCAAAGAGTAAGTAAAATTAAAGTTTTGTTGTAAAAATTTAGTAAATATTTATTTTTAGAATAGTTTTCAATTGTTTTTTTTTTTTAATATTCATAAATGCACATTTTTATTTTAATGTTATTTTCACTTTTCTTTGCATTATCCTTAATTTGAACGCATGAAATTAGAATTTCTAGTATGAAGATTTTTGAAGAGTTGTATTGCTTTAATTATCAATCAATACACTTGAGCCGGAATTCTTTAATTTTCGTAAAATTCACATATTTTTTTTAAATAAGTATCATTTCATTATCATTTACTTATTGAATTTTTGAAAATATTAATTTTTTTTATAATAACCTCATAAAATGTGAATACTTATATATATTTGAAAATTCTATTTAAAAAAAATAAGACCCTTTTCAATTTAAATTATGTAAATTGTATTCAAGGTATACCATATCATCTAAAATTCAATTAATTATAAAAAATTGAAATTGCATATTTGAAGTAATTAAAGCATAATTATCAGAATTTTATTTTTAGCTATTCTCTTGAAATAAATATAAAAAAATCGTTTTATTTACCTATGAACTAAAAATGAATTTCTATTTAACCATAGTTTTTCTAATATTGCATTCTTAAGTATGATATAAAGTTTTTCTTATTCAAATATTTTATTTTAAAGTTGGAATACAAAACACGCTTTACCTAATCGTATTATTCAATTATGTATTTATCTAAAAATTATCTAAATAATGCAAGCCCTATGTAATAATTTATACATTTATATTCTTTGCCTGCATTTTTTTTAAATTGCTGCTTATAACTTGTATCCTTTCAGTTTATGTGACTACAATTTTTAATATTACTTATATTGCAATACATTTTTAAATTTTGAAATTTTTCAAATAATTATCTTATTCTTTTAGACGCATCTCTTAAGGTTGTGGGATACTATTGAATATGAACTTTTTAATTTTTTCTTGTAAAATTTCTAATTTCGAAATTGATTTTCTGAAAATTACAAAATTTTTTTGTAAAAACAGCCCATTACGACAAATGATGCGACTAAAAGAAAATTCGTGTACTTGTTCTTTTTCATTTTTTGCACGATTTAAAAATGTTGAAAATTTAAATATCTAGAACTGAAGGTGTAATCATTCTTTTAGTGTTTATGTAGTTTTAATTTTCATAACTAAATATGCATGGAACTATATAAATAGATACTCTAGCTATAACAAGAACTAAAAATTATTTAATTTTATTTTCTAATTTAAATTTAAAATGAAATGCTCTTATGTACATAGGTGTTTTTATAATGAAATTTTCAAATACTTTAAATATTTGAATAATTTTATATTTGGATTTATTTTTTTGGTTTGGTAATTAGTTACTAATGTTATGTTTTAAATGAAAATTTAATTGTTTAACATTTCTTTTTCAGGTAAATTAAGTTCCAGCTCAGAAAAATCATTTGATTCTCGTATCAGTAAAGGAAAAGCGCGTGTGTGATGATAAACCAAATAATAATCAATTAAAAACTTACAGTACTACACAAAAAAAAGAGGATGAATTTAAATTTAACGAAATAAAAGCATTTTTATCTCTTTTTTTTTTAATTAAAAAAGCCATTGTAAAATGAAAAGGAATACAAAAGAATTTTTAATTTTAAATTTTGTAAAATTTTTACATATTTTTTGTTTAGTTCAATTTTTGTTTTTTTTTTTTTCATTTCGGTTACTTAAGTAGGAAAAATATAATTAAAATATAATCAATTATTTTTATTTTAATTCCACTTCAATCATATAATTATGTACAAAATAAAATTAATTAACCTTCGACTTGAAATATTAAAAACGCGAAAAAAAACATGCAATAAAAACATTTTTAACGTTGGTAAAAAGAAAATTATTCAAATGAATTTATAAAATAATTTATTTATTTAAAAATGAGGGCAACATTATTAATTAAATATACTTTTTGCGTTTTCATTCAATCAATTTTATTTTTCTATACTTTCTTATTTTAGTTTTATTTTAATAATTAGTTAATCAACGAATATGTAAAATAAAGTTAATTCTATTTTGAATTAATAAAATACAAAAAAAAAAAACTAAACATTATTTTTAATTATTTAAATTGTATTAAAATATTAATATATAATATAAAAAATTTAAAGGAATGAGAAAATATGCTTGTATAATAATTAAAAATAATTTTTCGAAAAACTTTCATCGCTGTATATTATTATGCAAGGGAAATTAAATTTAAAAATTTAATATTTTTAAATAAATATTTAACAAAAATGAAATTGATTAATTATTAATTTTCTAGAAAATATATATACTCATACTTTATATTAGTAAAAATTATAAAAAGAAAACTCTGATTTTTAACTTTTTAAATTAACATGCCCTATATTATTTAGATAACGAATACAGTGGAATCCGGATTTAGTCACACAAAAAATTTCATAAAAATTTGAAGTAGCTAATGATCGTTTGTGACTACTATCAAATGAAAATACAATTTTTGGACTCGAAATTGTTGAATATAATCCAATTATGATTATAAATAGTAGTGACTATATAAGTGACTTGCACTGTATATCAGATGACTAATGTACAAGCATCATGATATAACAAATTTTTTTTTTCGTTCAAAAATATTTTATATAGAAATATAGGTTTCTTATTCCAATTTTTCTTTTCAATTTAGAAACGATTTTTGTTTCTTTTAAAATTGATATTTACCAAATTTGAAGTTCTGCCTTACTTTATTCTATAATTATAATTTGTAAGTTTCTCTTAATTTTCAAATATTTAATGTTCAAAATCATTTGTAATCAAGCAAACATTTAACTATTGCTATTATTATTATAGATCAGCAATCCCGATTTGTGATTTAAACATTTTCTACTTTCCACTTTACTTCTCAAAGTTTCTATTAACAATTATTTTAATCAAAGATATTAATCCAAAATGGGATACAAAAAAAATTACAAGCAATATTATAAAACTCGTTTAATAATAAATCATTTAATTCTTTCTGTTTCAATTATCTTTAATTAAGTTCTAGGAAAAAAAAGACCTACTAAAATTATATTCTAATAGAGAAAAGAAAAATTTTAACATATTTAATATTTATTATAATAAAATATTGTACGCATAATTAAATCACACATATATACATACATACATATGGACATGTATTAAAAAGTTGTACATCAATATATTATATACGTAGTTAAAAAAAAATAAAGCCCTATTTGAATAAAAAATTTAGAAATCTTTGAGTTTTTTCCTTCTGTAAGGAAAAAGGCCATATAATATATTATACAATAAAAATAGAATCAATCAGGAATTAATGAAAATAAATAATTAATTAAATAAAATACACAATATTCTAAATATAAATTATATTTTGAAAAAAATTGCATTGACTAAACTATTAACAAAAGAAAAATTATATAGAAACGAAAATCTTAATTATAAAAGAAGACGATAATAAATAAAATATAAAAAGGAATTATTAAATTTTCAAATAGGATTAATAAAATTAATTGTACTTCCGAAATAAAGAAAAAAACCATAATAAAATTAAGTAAAAACCGTAATACAAAAGAATAATGATGAAAAAATTTACGAAATTAATTTGAATTCGATAAAATCAATTGAATTTTCTTGCTTTTCTTACTTAGTCAAGAATTGTTTTCAGAAGATTAAAAAGATGAGAATTTTGTTTCAACAAATTTTTATCTCTTGCGAATTTATTTAAAAAAATTTATAAATTATTTTTACGTGTAAATAAATGTATATTAATAATATGTAATTATTTCAATTGTTTTCAATTTATCCAATTGGACTTTTGTTTAATTAAAACAAAGCTACTTACTTTTATACTTTCTTATAGTTTTTTATTTTGTTTCGATTATTTCTTATAGGATTCTTTTAACTCACAAATTTCCTAGAGAAAAAAAATGACTTTCCCAGAAAATTAGCAAATTTTTTTTTTCACTTTTTTTGTTGTTAATAAAAATATTAAAAAAAACAGTAAAATTATGTGAATTAAAAATAAAATCGTAGTTTTATTTAAAATAGAAAATTACTTTTTTGTTATAATATAGTAAAAATTATAAGTATAATTTGGGCCACTCAAAACAAGTAAAGAAAACTGCATATATGAAGAATTGATTGCATGACAATTTTTTTATTTTCGAAAATTTTAAAAAATTTAATTTGCGATTATTCAACACTTTGTATTTTGAATAAATAATAATAATTATACGCATTTTAAATCCAATAATATTTTCTTATTAATTTAAATGTTAAAACCAGAAAAAACAAAAATCCTCTACAATACGCATTTAAAAAGCATTATAAAAATTTTTAAATAAAATGTAATTTTTAACTTTTCTAGCTACATTATGTCTACAGAAAATTGAACAACTTCTTATAGTACATATATACATGGGGGGTTTTCGTTTATGCTTGCTGCGCTGAAAGTTCTACATTAGAACTAAAATTTCTAAGTTGCAACGTTAAACAGTATGCAAAACCTTTAGATAAGTTTTTTTTTTTTTACGCAGTCTACAAATTCTGAAACTTTTTAACAATCAGTCGTTCGAAAATAACAGAAATGGCATTGTTTATGAAATTATATCCCAATACTTTTGTCCTTCTAATTCACTGCAAAATAAGGAAATTTTAACAAGATATGAAGACTTAAGAAAACTTACCCTGTAATAACCCTTCAATATCTGAATCTGTCAATTTTGAATTTAAAATTAAAAAAAAAGAAATTTCATGAGCAGCAACAAAATTTATACTAGCGGTCTGCGCTACATTTCTAACATTTCTTTATTGAAGATTGAATTTTCTTTATTGAAGATTGAATTTTCTTTATTGAAGATTGAATTTTCTTTATTGAAGATTGAATTTTCTTTATTGAAGATTAAATTTTCTTTATTGAAGAGTACTATATGCTAAAACTATTCTAGAACTGAATAAACGAAAATCCCCTAATTCATGTAGTGAATTTACAAAAACGCCTTACGCAAGAATGTATAGCTATTACTTAAAACTGCAATTACGAATTTAACCAAACTTTGGTGCACTTTTTTAACAAATAAGTACGTCCATTTATATGAATTTTGAACTTTGCAAAATATTGCAGTGACATCAAAAAAATTTCAGCAACAAATTTAAAGTCAAAGCATCAAAGTTAAGAGACTATGGATTATAAAATGTTAAATACGAGTATAATAAAATATGAAATAAAAGTTTTTGTAAGCAGAATAATATATATATAAATATATATATATATTTTGGCAAAAAAGTGCCTATAATAACAAATTAGCATAATATAAAAAATATATAAAATTTTTATAATGCACAATTAAAATGCATTAAATTATTATTGCATAATTCCATTAATCTTCTAAGCCATTACATTCCATGGAGTGAATGTACCAGACTTTGGTTCGTCAATCTAAAAAATATTGAATGAAACTTGTTAAAAAATATTAAATTTAATATATACAAACCATTTTAGTGAATTTATCTTCACATGCCATTCTTATTCTAGCAGCAGTTGCTGGAGCAGTCAAACTGAAATTAGTATTTAAATCTTGTTCTTTTCTAGCAGCTGCAATCGCTTCCTTAATAGCAAAGAAAATTGATGAGGCCAAAAATAATGGTGGTTCTCCAACAGCCTTCATTTGATAATTATATGAAATTATATTAAAGTTATACGAAAATTTCAATTTGTATTTAAAAAATACCTTCGAGGAATATATTGCTTTCGGATTGTCTGCTCCAGTTAGCAAGCTTACATTGAATTCAGCTGGAATGTCTGCGAATCCAGGTAATTTATACATACCAGGTCCTTTAGAATACATAACACCGCTTGGTGAGTAAACCATTTCTTCAAGAGTTAATAAGCCATAACCTTGCATAAAACCTCCTTCAATTTGTCCTATATCTATAGCTGGATTTAAGCTAGTACCGATATCCATAACAATCTCCGTTTTTAAAACTTGATGATCTCCAGTTAAACAATCAATTTCAACAACAGAAACCGCAGCACCATTTGTAAAATAAGAATATAGTTTACCAGTATTAGTTAGTGGATTATACCCAATTTCTGGGGTCTTATAAAAGCCAGTTGCTGATAGACTAATACGTTCAAGAAATGCTTTATGAATCCATTCTTCCCAAGTACCGTTTGGTAAAGCTTTTTTGACTGGTGCTAAACGATCATTAATCTTTTCACATGCATTAAAAACAGCCATTCCATTTAAATCTGAAGATACACTAGCTGCTGTGGGTTGACCGTTTGGCACTTTATCAGTAGCTGTTTCCATTATATGAATTTTTTCTTGCGGTATATTGAGGACCCTAGCAGCAACTTGTATCATTTTAATATGCAGACCTTGACCCATTTCCGTTCCTGCATGTGTCAATAAAACTGACCCATCTTCGTAAATATTAACCAGTGCACCGGCTTGGTTCATATGAAGAATGTTGAATGCTATGCCAAATTTAGTTGGGACAATAGCAACGCCACGCTTCCTCCAACGATTTTTGTTATTAAATTCCTTAACTTCTTTTCGTAAATCAAAAAATTTCGATTGCTTTAAACATTCCTCCCAACATCTAAAATTTCAATACATTAAAAGTAGGTGAAAATAAAAAGTAGTATAAATAAAAGTAGTGAAGTAAATAAGCGTTTAGCAAACTAAACTTGAATTTAGGTTTAAGCAATGTCTAACTGATTAAATTTACCTTTTGATAGTGCAATTCTCTAAAACCGTATTATAATAAGTAACGTCTCCAGTATTGTACATGTTGAGATAAGCTACATCAACATAATCTTTACCACATACTCTAGCTACATCACGGATGATATGTTCTGCAGCAAACATAGCTTGTGGACCACCAAATCCTCTAAAAGCGGTATTACTTGGTAAATTTGTTTTACATACATATCCAATTACTTTGACGTTATCAACGCGATACGCATTTTCGAAATGCGTCATGGCTCTGTCAAGAACCTAAATAAAATTTAATTAAATATTTTTTAAAACCTTAAATATATTGATGTAATTTACAGCAAAAGATAAATCTGCACTCCAGCCAGCATTATTAAAAATTTCAATTTCTATTCCTAACAACTTTCCCTCTTTGGTGCAAGCTACCTTATATTTAAATAAAAATGGATGTCTTGTTCCTGTAATAAGCATATCCTCATCTCGGTCCAACATGCAACGTATTGGTCGTTTTAGTTTATATGCAGCAAGAGCTACTGGAAGAGCTACTAGAACACCGCGCGTTTCTTTACCTCCAAAACCACCGCCAAGACGTTTTACACGGCAACTTATTTTTGCTGATGGTATTCCTAACATACGAGAAATCAAATGTTGAACTTCACTTGGATGTTGTGTTGAAGCAAATACTTCTAATTCGTCACTATCTCTTGGAATAGCCGTAGAACATTGAGTTTCTAGATAAAAGTGTTCTTGCCCGCCCATTCGGCAAGAACCTTCAACAATGTAATCAGAGTTTTGAAAAGCTTCTTCTACGTCACCCTTAACAAATGTCTTTGGAAACCCATCAAAGTAAGATTGATGTTTGATTGCGTCTTCTATAGATACAATAATTGGAGACAACTCCTCATATGTTACTTTAACTAAACGTGCAGCTCTTTGCGCGATAGCTTGAGTTTTAGCTACAATAGCTCCTATGGTTTGACCATGCGTGTAAACTGTTGTAGCAAAAACTTCTTCATCATGAAAAACTGCCCCAAATGAGTTTTGATAATTTGTCAAATCCTGACTAGAGAAAAAAGCTTCAACACCCTCAACTTCTAAAGCTTCTGATGCGTCGACAGAAGTAACCTTTGCGTATGTCTTCTGACTAAAAACTAAAGCTAAATAAAGCTCATTTTCTGCCTTAGGTATATCATCAGTATAAATAGCTTCTCCAGTTGCTTGCTTAAAAGCAGATGAATGAACTTTGGGTTGTCCTATTGGATCATGAACTGATGTCGAATCTAATCTTTTCTCATATAATTGTGCACTTGAGGGAATTTTGCCATGAAATACATCAGCACCGCTCTTTTCTTTTTCTGAAAGCTTAACTCCAACTATTCTATTATTTTCTAGTTGTTGTGCCACAGCCAGGTACGTTTTAAAGAACAAGCTTAAAACCAAAGCTCTTCTATATGATACCATGCCACCAGGTGCACTCGGTGATAAAGACAATTCTTTACATAAACTTTGCGCTGCAATTTCAACTACTTGCTCAGACCACGTTTTGCCTTCTAATAATTTAGAAGTTATTGGTGCCATAACCGTAGTTGGTGCCATTCCACCAAAAGCCATATCAATTTTTTCAACAACGTTAGTGTTTGTTTTAAAGATAATATTAAATGCTCCATTCACAATTGCTATGTCATCATCTCTACGTTTTGCTTGTTTATAAGCAATAGTGTATTGGTTGAGTTCAGTTTTTGGAATTTTGATTGATACAAGAACTTCATGGGGCTGAATAACATTCTTACGGTAACTTGTGAAAAACCCTTCCCCCATATGAACTGTTCTAGTCATTTCTTTGGTAGATTTAAAGCTTCTAACCTCCAAACTGCAATTAGTTATTACATAAGTAAGAATAATTGAATTCAATTCTTTAAAAATGAATTTACCTTACTTTTGCTGCGGTCAATATTGGATTCAAATCTGAAATTGGACTTCCAGTCATAATATTTCCACCAATAGACGCGACATTTCTAATTTGTTTGCCAGCAAAATATTGTAACATATCAATTATACATTGATACAATCGTGTTTCATGTCCTGGCAATTTTTTAATTTCGTTTTTCAAAAACATTTCGACATTCATTAAGCTGGCTGAAGCACCTATGTGTACACCATTATCACAGTTTTTTATTTCATTTAATTCTTTTATTTGTGAAACATTGATTAAAACCGGGTACAAAAAATGTTTAAATTTAACTTCAACTCCAACTTCTGTATTTCCTACAACAAGTTTCGCATTTGGATATTCCGATTTCAGTTTTAATAATTCAACAATTGTTGTTGGTCTAAACCACGTGACTCTATCACTTTGAAATTTTAAAAAGCTCTCGTCAAGAACACTAGAAACTTTTAGTTCTGGTGGAAATATTGGTTCTTGAGTTGGATCATATGGAGCGAATTCACTTTTTTCAAATAACTTATTTTCTAAGTTACCATTGCCATTTTTTTCATTGTCATTACATTTATTTCCATTTAATTTGCAACAATTTTCACCCATTCCACATGCAAATTCTTTAGTAAATGTTTTATATCCTTCTATGATAGGTCGATATCCAGTACATCTACATAAATTACCTTGAAATGCTACTTCCATATCTTGCATACTTGGTTTAGGCATACTTCTTAATAGAGCATACATTGACATTACTATACCAGGAGTACAAAATCCACATTGTGAACCATGAGCTTTAGCTATTCTCTCTTGTACTGGATGTAAACGTGTACGAGTACTGCCAATACCCTCAACTGTTGTTACAGCACAACCATGCATTGAACATACTGGAGTTAAGCAAGCATTCACTGCCATATGTTTAACTTCATTTGTAATTCTGTTAATGCGTGATACCATAACGGTACAAGCTCCACATCCTCCTTCGCCACATCCTAATTTAGTTCCACATAAATGAAGTTTATCACGTAAATATGTTAATAAAGTTGTTTCTGGATCTGGATTAGGATCTTTTACCTAAAAATAATTTAATTTTATAATATTTTATAATATTAAGTTCAAAAATGTTTTTTCTTTCTAATAATTTAACACGGCAATATTGAGAGCTAAATTTTGCCAAATGTCTTAATGTCATTCGTTTCCTTTTTGAAAAGGAAAAAATGTCTAAAATATTTCGATTAAATAAATAAAATTAAATTTTTTTTTACCATAACTTGTAATGTACATACATATATGGATAATTGTGACGGCACATTTCATATTTAAATTTTATGTAAATTATGATTTTTAGTTTGAAAATTTCATCGCAGAAGTTTAATTTTGGAATATGTATTTCAAATTTAAATAGAGTACATAATTCTTCGAACTGGCAGAACGAACTAGATACATACATATGTATGTATATTTTTTCTTGAAAACTTTCAAGCTTCTATTTTATTTTATTAAATTAATTTGTGTAATTTTATAGAAATCTTCACCAATATTTGTTATTTTCAATAATTGAAATGTCAGTTTGTAATCGTTTATTGAAATTTAAAATCTTAATAGGCCTGAGAAACTTTATTGTTTGAAAAGGCAATAAATTATGTTCATATTTAATTCTATACGTACATTTATATATGTACATATATATGATTTATTTCTGAGGTGTTTTTAATAATAAGTACATCTAGTGAAAATAATTGGAACATGCTTAAATAAAATGTTTTCATTTATGCGCAAATTATAAGTGGCCCAGGACCATAACGGACTAAGCTACGTTAACGTTTTATTTTCTTTATTTACGTTTAGACGATTTATTTATGTTTTATTACGTTTTACATTTACGTTTTTATTTTTTTAAAAAAGGTTTTCAAAAATATTTTGAATGTCAAAAAAATAGGACCAAGTTGTGTAGTATTTAGCTTAATAGGACAAAGTTATGTATTTAGATAATAAGTCTAAATAATAAAAGTATTTTTTCTATTAAGGTTGTGTTACTTTGGTTCCGAGTTTATAGGCTTTATTCAATCATAGTTCAATTAGACAACGCATTAATAAACGGCACTAATAACAATTTAATTTTAATTTCTGAATTGTAATTAACATAAGTAACGCATAAAAAAATATTTTATACATTGCTGCAGTAACGAAATGAAGAGTAGCACCAATTTTAAGCAAAAATTTTTTTTGCGCTTTGAATACTTTGCACGATTAGAGCGTTGATATCTTCATTTTTCCTTTCATTTCATTACATAATTAAATAATTTTTACATATTTTATTTTTACATCTCAGTACATTCATGCATTTGAAGCTGCTCTAGAAGTCTACAATACAGATTTACTGTATGTACATAAAACTACGTTTGTACAGATATTTAATAATTATGTGTGAATAAAGTATAATAGGAAAATTATAACAAAATTTGGAATTGATTCAAAAATACATTGCAAAAATTAAAAGATTTCCTCACATAAAATTATTGGATATTTCAATTGATATAATAAAAGTTCTTGTAATATTTGTTTGATAGAAGAAATGAGCTAAAGCCTTTAAATCTTAATTTTCGATGTTTGGAAATGTGGGTTTTTAATATTGTATGCTTCAAAAATTTTACCGTTAATTTTTTTACTTTAATTCATAAACTAATTTTAAGCACAAATGAAAAAATTCAAATTCAATTCAAGTAGAAAAATTGTTTAAATTTATACTATCTGGGATTCGTTTTACTGTTAATGCTCTATAAAATCATTTCAATTACTACAATCATGCTGTTCATCTTAGCGGTAACATTTTTTCCCCGAAAGACAAATTAGATCAAATTAAAAGTTATTTTTTGTTATACGTATACATATATATGTATATATATATATATATATATATATGATAGCTTCAATATCATTCGAGCTTGAAAAATGTTCAAGTTTCATATTGAAATATGTACACGTATCATAATATTTTCACCTAATTTCAAACAAAGCGAAAAGTTTCAATTTTTTCTTATTTTTCTAACCTTATTTCCCATTTGAAAATTTATATAAATCTCTATATGTCAGTGCAAAAATGCTATACAATAATTAATATTTTGATAGTTGCAAAGACGTTACTTGAATCAATAAAAGTATGTTAAATTGGCACAACTGGTTGAAATATTTAAAGCGATTTAAGGTTTGGAAAAGATTACATCAACATGGCGTGGTATATAATGCGAATTAAATAGCTAATAAATTAAATTTAACTATAGGACAAACTACACAGTTTTACATATGTACATACAACAGGGCTCATCATTTTATTCAAAACATCTTAATACTACATGTAAGGCATATTAAATCTACATTATACAATTTTGGTTTTTATTTTTACAAAATAAATTTAAATAATTTTGATTTAATTAATTTATTATAAAATAAATTTATTGATAAAAATATAATAAAATGTATCATAAGATTCGTTAAGAGTTTTAATAAATTGAAAACAAAAATATTTTTTTAGTGTATTTATTGCCGACCGCATTATGCTTGCAATAAGGTAGGTTATGTGATGACAACAAATTTTGCATCGAGTTTTCGGTGGAAACGCACTTTTCCATGGTAGGCAAGTGAAAATAAACTAGTTTTACCAACCGATCGGTCTGTTGGTCTGTCTGTATGTGCACGTGTGTATCTCAACTTCGGCTGAACCGATTTTGATGAAATTATATGTATAAGTTTATTTCGACCATGTTCATGGATTGATCAACTTTTGGGATATACCGGGACAGGCCTCGGGAACCGGACCTTTTAACGGGCCTTTTTTACATTTTTGATCATTGTGGAAAAAATATTCAACAGATCTACTTGAAATTTTATATATAAGCACTGCTCGACCGTCCGCGAAACCTCCCAACTTTTAAAGAAATCAGGTGTGTCAGCAACTGGAAGTTTACTACGGGAAAAATATGCATTTTGTGTATATAAAGGAAAATAATCAACCGATTTCATTGAAATTTAATATTTAAATTCGATGTGTTAGAACAATGAATATATAAATTTTTTGGAAAGATCAGGGCTCGGAAACAGATATATGGGCCGATTTTACATTTTTTATTATATCTACAGAACGAATTGATGGAATTTGTTGAAGAGACGCATTTTCATAATCTTATTGAATACTTTTACCGCTAATCTAGACAATATACATTGCTATCGATTATGTGTTGATCACATCAGATTTTTTTTAGCTTATTATAATATTTTCCATAGTCATACCCCGTTAATCATACAATTATTTAAAGTATTATATGGAAATACAGTATTAATTAAATAAATATTTTTTATAAGACAATAAATTGTTTACTTCACAATTTTATAATTGATAAGAATAAGTAAGCAAAAGATACTTACGTACATAATTATTTTTCATTTTTTAAAAGTATATATACATATAATGTACGTATACATACATACCTACGATCATTTACAAACTCATTTTTCATATACTATAGATATTCATACATATGTACACATGTATGTTCATTATATTTTTAAAATACTATACACTATAAGCACACAAATATTATAGATTTGCTAAATTCAAAACCTTAATATTTGCATTATTTAATAATATGGTGGTAATAATAATAACTTAAAAAGATATGTTTTCAAAAATAAATAAAATTTTAAATTATTTGAAATAAATTCTTATTTTGTTGATATTAAATTCATATTGCAAGAAAATAAAAAAAAAATTATTTGAACATTTAAACACAACAAAACAAATTTGTAGTTATATTTCGAAAGTGTTCCACTTTATGTACATTCATATATGACGAAACGAAAAGTCAGTAGTCATCCTTCGTCAGCATTCTATAAATTTTCAATTAAAATAGTTACGTACAATAAAAATTAGAAATTGTTTGATCTATAACTAAAAACAAGTTTCTAGCTGTATATAATCAATTGTTATCAGAAATGTATTAACTTTGAATTCTTATATAATGTAGGGTATTAAAGACGATAACTTTGCTTTCGTTTCAAAATCCTAATTTCCTTAAAATATTTCAACCACTTGTACCAATATAAAATATTTTATTAATATTCCAATATAATAAAACTAATGTTGTTTCAAGTTATATCTTTGCATCTATCAAAATATTGAGTAAATTTACCGAATTTTTGCATTCACATATACAGATTTATTAATTTTAAGAATGAAAATAAACTTAAAATAATAAAGAAAAATTCAAAAATTCCATTAAGTTTGAAATTTGGTGAAAATATAATATGTGGACATATTTCAATACGAAATTTGGAATTCTTAAAGTTTATTTCAATTGGAATTTGTTAAGCTTGAATGATATTGCAGCTATGTACAGTCGGAAGCAAGTTGCAAAAACCAGAACTACATCATTGGTAAAACTAAATTGATTTTATATATTTTCCAACTTTTTTGTTCGTAATTATACGCTTGTAAAAATATCGGTTACAAACAAAACCTTTTCTAAACACAAAAAAATTTATCGCATTTACCTCTTTCTTCTTTTGATTAAGACCGTTTAATAAATAAATAGAGCAATAATGTTTAATCTGTTAATTTTGTTACAGATAAAATAAGGACTTGCCAATTCGCAATTGTCTGATGTCTGATTGTCTTAAGATCTGCTGTTAGAAATATTTAAATGACAGGACATTTTTTGCTCGCGCTTAATTTTGGAAGATTTTTTAATAATAATAGATAAAACAGCAAATTCGTTTGCCGTCAACGATCTCTATGAGGAAGAAGAAAAACTAAAATTACTTCTCAATCCACCAGTTTTAAAATAAACCAATACTTACATTTTTATACAAAGGTAAAAAAATCTAATTCACAGTTTACACAAATATTTATTTGAATGACCAGATAATGAATTCTTGTAAACAATTCCTGTCATAAATATTATGATGAAACATTTAAGTGTATTACCTAATTAATAAAAATGCAAAAAGAAAAAATGATTTTGATTTGAATGATCCTATCTATCATTCATGTTATCAAGGTCACTTATTTGCTTGTTTGTGTTTTAATTCTCAGAAAAACAAAGAAGAAGCTGTTGATAAAACCAGTTGTTAAAATATATTATATTAATAAACAAACATAATAATAAAATAATACATATACGCATGCACATAGTTAGTAAACAAAAAATTTAACTTGGTTAAAAACAGCGAAAAGAAAGAGTTGATAAAAGAAAATTTAGACTAATCGCGACTAACTTTAAATTGAAAACAAGAAAAAAAGGCAAAAAATGTTTAATAATGATCAGATACATTTTTGGTAACCAATTCTCCCTTAGCAAAACTTTAATTTATGTAAACACATACATACATACATCTTAGAACCAAACTCTTAGATTCTTTTAAATTTTAAACACAAAATGAAATCGGAAATTACTAACATCAGTATTAAAAAAATGAAATCGGAAATTACTAACATCAGTAAAAAATTTATGTATGTATGTATGTACTTTTACATCCCACATAAAATATAAAATTTTTAGAAATAACTAACTTTGCAAAATAAAATTAGTTCAAATACAGAATCCAACTGCATTATCAATATTAAAAATAAAAGCAAAAAAGATGAAAAGATAGAACGCACATATTACAGGGAACTCATTGACGTAATAAAATTCGTTACATAGAAATTTTGTTATCGACAAGTTTAAATTTTGCGATTAACATAATGATAATAGAATGCTATCTCTTGGAAAGGTGAACCTTTTCAAACTGCTACTAATCCAATAACACATAAATAATTCTTATTATCTTGGTTTAATATTTTTAGATTTTAATACATTACATAAATAACGCATGTACAAATTTACGCCTTTAAATATGATATATATAAAATATATGTGTAAATTGAAGTATGTGCAGCTATAGATTATGGCTATAAAAACATATTTAGCTCAAAACTCATATATGTTGTATAGGCAAGTGCCTTTGTATGAATGTCTTCAATTAATTAAGTACATATGTAAATACTTATGTACTTATAATTTGCAAACTATATTTGTTCTATGTATTTGTTTTCTTAATTAAAATTTCATTCAAAATAAATTCATTTATAAATAAAAGTACTGACGTATGTACTTATGTATTATTTTAAAGTTTTATTAACCCAAAACAAACGTAACATTTTTGTGTCCTACGTATAACGTAGGATACAAAAATTTCTATTTAATTTATTACTTCTATATAATGTTTAATGTAAAGTTGAACTCTTCATAATAGTTGATACTTATGTAAATATCCATAAGTAGCTAGTAAAACTTTTTTTAGCGAAAAAAAATACATTGTCACATCATTTTTAACGTATATAATTATTGTATGTATGTAGGTATAATATATAATATTATTGTTATAACGTTTCTGTTAATTCAGTAAATTCCTCATATAAATTTGTACGTATGTAATTTAAAAGAGAAATATTGTATAACATAATTAAAGTTAATACTTATTTCCAAGCAAAAGTGATCTAATTAATACGAGTACTTTACTACAGTACATATAACAATTAAATAAAATTTCAAATAAAATTTCTGTCTACAATTTATAAATTAATTAATTAATTAACAATCAAATAATTATCACCTTTTTTCCATTCACAAAAAATATAAGTACTGAAGAATTATTTGAATTTTCAGTACCAATATTGTTATATCCATTTGCATGACCATTTGTACCATTAACACCGTTCAATGTCATTATATAACAATTTCAGATTCGTTCTAATATTGTATAAAAAGTAAATTAATCTTATTATTTATAATCTAAAAATAATTATTATTTGATTATTGTGTTTAACAATGAAATCACATTTATTTACTAAAAACAAAATTAAATGTAAAATTATTTTTAAATTGTGAATTTAATAATATTATATTTAATTAGATTATTATATATTTTTGCAAATTTATAAAAACAAAATAAAAATATTTTTAATTCACTTAAAAACGATTTTAGTAATGGCAACAAATCAAGACTCTAAATCAATATTTGAGATAAGCGATAAGACCTTGGAAAAATAAAAATTTTAAATTAATTACGTTTAAATTCGCAATGTTTTGAATTGTTTGTTAATTTGAATGATTAAAAAAAATGATTATTATTTAATAAGAGAATAAAGCACTTTTGTATTCCACGAAGCTCTAACACGAACTGACGATTTAATTTTAAAATTTTTAATTTAATATTCAAGTAAATGCTTAATGTTTGTTTATTAATGAACTCGAATTAGTTAGGAGAAGAGAGGTGTACAAATATATTATATTATAGTATGTTAATGCTTATGTTTGTTTTTGTTATCACAATCTAGTAGAGGTACTTTACTCAAAAAATTAAAAAAAAAGAGAATAGTTTTTATCAATAAAGATATGAGAATAAAAAAAGAATCTGGTGAGAGTAAAATTGTTTTTCGGAGAGAGTTTTAATTAATTTCAATATTTTTATTATATAGCTTGCAATTGATAAAATATTAATTAACGAAATGCGGTGGGCAGATGGAACGCTGAAACTTTTAAAGAAATAAATTGTAATACCAACTAAATTATATAAAATTAAATTTAATAGCAATGATAATAAAAAAACGTTGCGGAGCAGTCAAATAATATTTTTATACAATTTAAATATATGAAGTAAGTAAAGTATAATTTAGAAATGTTTGCGTTGTAATGAGTGTTGTATACAAATATGCCATTTGCTTGAATTCGCTGACATTCAAAGAAAAAAATTTACTATAGAGCCAGAGTATAGACATTTAGGCTATATTTCACCGTCGGCTTGAATCTGGGCAGTCCCATTTAAATGTTTGTATTTTATATGAGTTATACCATTTTGATACGGAAAACTGCACTTGCCCTGTTTTCAATTTCATAATTCTAAAAGAAATTGCTGTTACAAAATTGACATTTAAGCAGTATGCAGATTGTACCTTCGAACTCAGTTCTCTATATAGCGATGAATATTCTAACATATTGCCCTTATAAAATATGTAGCGTAGACTTTTGGAAAGTGTAATGTAGACCTATACATTAGGGCTTATTTTCAGTGTCGAATCACTAAATGATAGTGACGTTTATCGTAAAAGTTTCAAAAACTTTATTATAGACACGAATCGTTTGTATTGAATTAATTGGTTTATGTTAACAATAACAATATCAAACTTTTTACGATTATTTTCACTTAGTCATTTGATACTCCATTAAAGCTGTAAACCCCATTAATAAACCCCATTAAAGCTGTATTATAGTAATGCAAATACATAGTAAGATACGAAAAATACGTGATAATTATATAATTAATATTTTAACCTAGAAAAATTTTCTTAAAAATATAGAAATTTAAATCTGATCTGATACATATTCGAGCTAGTCAATAATAATTTAACATTGATAGATATAATTTCATAAATTTCCTTAAAATAGTATTATATTCAAAAACTATTATAATGTTATGAGTGAAGTTATTTTGTTACCATATAATTGCAAGCGCATATAAGTGTTCGAATTATGTACACATATCTGTTATAACATAAGACATGTAACAGACTGTAAAATGTGTTTTAATTTTTCTATTACATGAAACCAAAAATTTTCAGCATTCTGCACTTACATGTTTTGATTTATATATGTGATGACTGTGAACATACATACGTTTTGTAGATAGTATTGAGAAATTTTTCGGTAATATTAAATTACAAACTGTTTTAGTCTTAAATTATTTAATTGAAAAGAAAAACATAAAATATCAAATAACATTTTTACTCCCAATTTACAAAACATTACAATTCGAATTACAATAGTTAACAGAACAATTTGAATAATGCAATATTTTAAGAAAGAGAGAGAGGATTTGTTTTATTATGTATTAAATTTCGAGAATGAAAAATTTTATTGACATTAAAGCAAAATAAAAAAACTTTTGGCTTACATGTCTTTTGCTTTTAAGATTTTTAAATTTTGTCGTCTCAGTCTCCAAAACTTTAGAGCGAAAAATATTTCATGCTTAAAAAAAGCAACGAAAAAAAAATTAATTTCGTCATTGCAAATAATTGTGTCAGAAATAAAGCTACACTCGAAGCGGAATCAAAATATTGAAAGATACTTACTTACTAACTTACTTATTTACTTTAAATTTTGCTAATGCGAACTAAACAGAAGTCAGTTCTTCTAAAGGTGTGAAATGGCATAAAATGTTTTCATAATAAGATTAAAGAAAATGACTTCGCCTGTTGCAGTTAACTAGGTTTTCATATTCAAATTAAATAAAAATTTCAGAATTATTTCAGAAAAAAAATAACAAAAGTATTTGAAACAAAATTAAGTTTTAAAAGAAATTGCAATCAGCAATCTTTTTTATTTCATTATTTTTAATTTAATCACAAGAGTAGTTTCTAGTTGAACTCAAATATGTTATTAGTTTCATCAAATGCAATTTGTTTTTTACAAAATTACTTTTTAATTTTTTTGATATTCTTACTTTTAATCGTTTTCTTTTTTAACGTGCCTTTAAGAGTTGGTTTATTCGCCTCATTATATTCTCTTACGAACTCTCTACAAAATCCCGGTATTTTATCAAACTTCTTCTTAACAGGTTCATAATTTACTTTAAAATTAAAATCATCCTCAGAATATTGTGTTTCCTTACAAGCTTTTATAGGTAAATTTAATAATTTTGGTTTAATTAACCCGGCTGGTGGTGTAAATTCAATATCAAATTCATTATCGCTTTCACTACAATCATCCATTACATTTGTATTATTTCTTTTTATTATGAATTTAATTGGTTTCATGTTTAAATAAGGATTGGCACTACAAACAATATCAGCTGATGATTTTAGAGGGCGCATTGTAATTATATATTCTCCGTTATGTTTTTCTAATTTTAAAGTTGGTTTTTGTTCTAGAGTTTCTTTATTTAATTTAATTTTTTTATTTCGCTTAAAAACTGGTAATGTGTCAGCTGGAAAATCTTTTAAAAAATATCTCATTAAATTTTTTATTTTGGAGCTAATTGCACCCGGTTTCCATCCCTTTGATATCATTTCTTTATTTGTATTCCATAGCCATCCCATGTGTTTCGGAACACCTTTATTTTTTATTAAGCAACCTCTGTGTGTTACATGCATTTTTCTAAAAACGAAAAAAATATTATTGACAATTGGTTAAGCGATTTAATTTTCAACTACATTTTTTCTTTGAAGGCCTTTTAAGGCTGAAGACAGAAATTTAGTATTGCTTCTGCGATTAATGCTATTTTAATATTGGTAAATAGTAAAATATTCGAAAGTAAATAATAGAATTGCAATTGCAGGTTTAAGGTAAAAATTTAAAGTTTTTGCGATTTTAAAATTGGAAAGCTAAAATATTGTAAAAAAATAATAATTTTTTTATAATCATATTTTATTGCATAAGTTTAGGAGAAATATTAATGAAATTATCTAAAAAAAAAACTACTAGTATAACGATTAACTAGACTGATAACTGGTTTAGTAAAGGAAAGTCAATTAGTTCAGTTAAACAGCGTTGTTAATGTTTGCTGCTTAAGTTTTAAGTTCTTAGAATAAAGTGGTCATAGTTTTACTTTGCTGGTTTCTTCAGGTGATAGCTCAATGAATAAAGATAAAGAAGAAACAAGGGTTTTAATTTGAGTGGATGTAGGAGAAAATCTGAATTAGAAATGAGATTTTATTCTACTGAAATAAGTTCTCATTATAATTTGTTGCATTCATTTGATTGGAAAGTTTCAGTCTTCTTGTAAATGAAAACTTTTGTAAACGGATCCATACGCAAAAGTAAGCCCGGATATATAGACTTAATCTATTAGAAAATTTGTGCTAAAAATTTGTAGTAAAATATATCAATTAATTAAGAATTAAACACCTTGTTAGACACGACGGCGGGTTATATTTATATACACGTTTCTTGTTTGATTGCTGTTTTTTGAATTTCCTACAATTGGGGTCGGTTTTGAAACTTTTGAATTTTTCGAAATTGTTTGATAAACATTTTGTAAAATTTGTAGATTTATTTGGAAATGCTCTGCCATACTTCTGTCTAAGTGCCAATATTATCTTTGATAAAGGAGGCACTTTATCGGAGCTATCAGTGTATTCATCTATAATTTTGTTTATAATAGAATCTTTGGACTTTAGAGTTCCATTTCTTGAGTCTCCATATGCATTTTTTTGAAAACATTTTTGAAAATTTTCATTTCTAGAGCTTTTGGGAATTTGATCACAGCAGAAGCATTTCATTTTGTAGCCTTTTTGAGTATCGGTGGTTTTATAACCCTTAACACACTCTAAATTACTAAATGAGTAAAGTTTATCATCTGTTGTATGATGTACTCTATTGAAAATTATTAAATTACTTGTTGAATTTTGCATTTTAAATCGACTTGAAGTTTTGGATGGTGAAAGTTTAAAGATTATCGATTGGTTATCTTTGCATTCAAATTTGTTATCTGTGCAAAAAAGGTTTTAGTTATTAAATATTATTTTAAGAAATTTCAATTAAAATTGTTAACTTATTTAAGTGAGATGAAAATCACCCTAAACAATTTTTATATTATCTAAGCCCATTCTATCTTACCTAGGCCCGGAATGAATTTTGTAACCGATTCATATTTTCTAGAACATTTTGTTATGTTATCACCGATTTCACCATTCCTGTTGAAAATAGAATTTTCAATAGATATTCTGGCATTACAACAACCTTCATCTATTATGGTACTTAAATTTTTATCGCAATCACCTTTTTCATCAAGTTTTCGAACATAATCCTTTAAATTTTTTAGGTTGATTTGACCATTTAATAATGAATGTGATGGACATTTTTTATCATCATCAATAAAAAACAAAATATCATTTTCGTCTGAGCTTTTCTCCGAATTTTCACTAGTATCACCATATATTTTGTTTAAAATGTCTCCCATTGACAAATCACGTTTTAATTTTTGTTTTATTTGCGCTTGACTTTTATTATCAAGAGAATTACTGCACCTTAAGGTCTGTCCTTTGTTAGTTATTTGAAAGCCCAATGTAATATTGCCAATTATTTTACAATTGTGAATAATTTCTTTATATTCTAGTTGACAATAATCTGTAAACTCCTTATAATTTAGTTTTTCAAAAAGACTTT